TGGTTCAATAAAAAATAAAGGCTAAATCATGGGTGTGATACTAAAAGTCTTTGTTAAACCACTTCTTTTGCAGTGTTAATAAAAAACACCCATTTTACTCATCAAAAGAGTGAATATGTCAAATGTGTTGCATAATTGAGTTTCCTTCCACTGAACAAGCAACAAAACTGCAGCTCTGTATCAAAATAATTGAGTAAAATATACCAAAAAATACTCTTGACGATATACTGTAGAACCACGATATCGATATTGTATCATCATTTCATTTCAGAGTGTGTCAAGTCTGTAACTTGGTCTGTGTGACCAAACCAGGCCAAGTTACAGGTCAGATCTGTGGAGAGGCAAGCCCACTCACAGTCAGAATGCTTGTTTTTCTTGGTATTTTTGAGCTATAAAACCACCTGTGATTTAATAAATATAAGGTAGAGCTGTTTAATGTCACACTGTGGAACATTCCAGGCAAAGCGACGGCCCCTCCATCAGAAATGTTACACAGTGCACCTTTAAGGACTCATGAATTTGTATAACATCAGTGTATGTACTTGTAAATACTATATAACATCTTTAAGGCTACATGTTTTCATTATTTAAAGTTTGTCTGTTTCAATTCAATTTTCAGATTACTTCAACTTTTATCACAAAATTGGACTTTTATTACAAAATCGCTCATTTTTCTGACCTGAGAAACCTGTTTAAAAGGAGAGATGATTGATAGATTTACCGCGCACTTAATTTAACTTGTAATTCCTCCCGTGAGAATATTCATTAAAATTTCACTCATTTCCCTCAAATTTTCACAGTCAAAATCACACGAGTTGCCATTTGGTCTCACTTTGGAGCGCTTTGTGAAAATCTTCCCTTAAGCTTTGTACAGTTTTATCTGGGTGTGTAAAGTGAATGTCTCAAAGCTCTTGGCGCCGTGTCACTTTGGTGTAGGGCTCTATTGAAATCCAATATCCAAGTATAATCACTGCTGCCTGAGCTCTGCATCTGTACTACAGTCTGCAGTACACTCAGAGTCGAGCAAGAGCCACAAAGCTTGAGATTTCACTAGTTGTTTTAAAGTGCCTATGTTACACAATTTTCTGATCTATGTTATAATGTTGTTTCCTCGTCACAAACATACCTGGAGTTGTGTTTTGTTTCATTCAGGTGTGTAACCTTTCTGGACGGAGTGTACAACTTGTTTGTCTCCATCAAAATGTCAATACTTTGGTTTAAATTGTCCACAATATGGTATTAAATAGGGATGTGACGATATCCAAATCTCTTGGTACGATATTATCACGATATACATCTCACTAGTGTTGGGGAGTAACAGATTACATGTTACCAGAGTTACGTAATCAGAGTACAAATTATGAGTAACTGTATTCAGTTACAGTTACTGTTTCAGTGAGTGGTAATTGGATTACAGTTACTTTGTTGAAATAAATGGATTACACGGCGGTATTTTCCTGTTTTCACACTTTGGGCTTTTTTTTTTTTTTTTTTTTTTTTGTAATTTCACTCATTGCCAGGACACTAACCAGGTCTAAACCAGGTCTAAACCAGGTCTAAACCAGGTCTAAACCAGGTCTAAAACCAGGACTAAAACCAGGACTAAAACCAGGACTAAACCAGGTCTAAAACCAGGACTAAAACCATTACTAAACCAGGACTAAAACCAGGTCTAAACTAGGACTAAACCAGGTCTAAAACCAGGACTAAATCAAGACTAAAACTAGGTCCAAACCAGGTCTAAAACCCAGTCTAAACCAGGTCTAAACCAGGTCTAAACCAGGACTAAACCAGGACTAAACCAGGACTAAAACCAGGTCTAAACTATGTCTCAAACAGGATTTAACAGGACTAAATCATGCTGCGTGGACCATGTTTTCTCCTTCTTCTATCAATAATATTTTTAATTTGGTTCAGTAAAGTCTGGGCTTTTTATTTTCTTTTAGCAAACAAAACATCTTATGTGAAGATTTCCTCGTCTTTGCTTCTCTACAGCAAATCAAGTAATCCAAAGTATTCAGATTACATTACTCACTTTAAGTAATTTAATGGATTACGTTACAAACTACATTTTGGGGTATGTAATCCCAACACTGCATCTCACGGTACGATATTTATTGCGATATTTTGGAGAGGCTGATATAATTGTAGATAAATACGACACTTTTTTGTTTTTAAAATACCCTGACAGGATAAACACATACTAATGCCTCTAGTTAACTTCAAGGCAAAGTCCAATAACGACGTTTAGGAAGTGTACACAAAACTACTTCTTCCCTCTTATCTTTTAGTGTTGACTTTATGATGATTATTGAATGTTTTGATTTGTTTGTATTGTGATTTTAATGTCTTTCTTTGATTTAATTTGTGTACGAATAATGCTATACAAATAAAATTACCTTGCCTTGATTGACTTTGCATTAGGGATGTGACAATATCCAAATCTCTCTGTACGATATTATCACGATATGCATTTAACGGTACGATATTTATTGCGATATTTTGAAGAGGCTGATAAAATTGTAGATAAATATGACACTTTTTTGCTTTTAAAATACCTTGACAAGATTTTGGTGTGAATTATTTCCATCATAATTCCAAGAATTCAAGTCAAAAACATATTTCTTCATGTTGTCTGTGCTGAAATGAATCATGGGATATGTAGTTCCCAGTGTTTATTAACCATGCATTTAAGCAAAGGAACTTGTAATTCGATATATTGTGACAGCCCAGGATATTATTGTGAGACTTTGGACGATACGATATCCCGATATTGCGGTTATTGTTACATCCCTAGAATTAAACTAATAGGTCTTTCATTTATTCAACTACAAGTGCTCAAAAATGGCTTAAAAACATCTATTCTTACTGTGAGTGGGGGTTGCCTTTCCGCAGATCTAACCTGTAATTTTGGCTTGCATGTCTCCATGGAGATTCTTAAGTCTATGGCCGGTGATGTCAGTTTCTGTGATGTCTGCAAACGTTCATGTGCGCTAAAACTTGATTTGAAAAAAATCGTGGATGAAATCGAAATCGCAGTATCTGACAGAAAAATCGCAGTTCAGTTTTTTTCTTAAAATCGTTCAGCCCTACCATGGAGATTCTTAAGTTTATGGCCATACTGTGGAACATTCTAGTCACATCTCCATGGAGACAAGCAGATGATGAACCCTTCACCGGAAATGTTGCGCAAAACACTTTTAACACACAAATCTTGCATATTTAGGTTCTTCTCTCAAACTGAAAACGCCCTGTTCCAACTTGTGATGTCATGTGGTAAAACAGGAAGTGCTCTAATGTGTTTTTCAACTCTCAACACGTTCACTAGAATCATCTGGATAATTTCAGCCAATGTTTACTAAAAAAAAAAAAAAAAAAGGTCAGGGGTAGCTATTAACTTGAAAACTACCACTACATGACATCATAAGGTGAAACAGAGCATTTTGACCTTCGAAATTGTAGACAAAATAATAATAAACATGTGTGAATGAAGCAAAACAGAACTAAGGATAAGTTTTTGAGAAAGTAACAAAATTCTAACATGATTTAAAGCTCACAAGAGTCAGATTTGTGTAATCTAGGACCTTTAAATAAGTTGTCTTCATGGTATTTTTAAGTTTGATGTTGCAGTTTCAGATGAGTGGAAGGTGGAGCTTGGCCTATGACAAAAAAATTATCATATATTTTTTTCCCTTGTAATGATGGATTACGTTTTTTTAATGCTCTGCTCCAAACCCCATCTTTTACACTGACAGAGGACTGGCTGTAGAAGTCCTGATTAAAAAGACCCAAAAATATCATTGACAATTACAAATCTTGATTAAAGTTTGATTGATTGCACAGCCCTAATAACTCCTTGTTCTAAGTAGGTTGTGCTCATAATGTTTTAAAACCTGATGTCTTATTTTGAGCTTCACAGCTTTTGAAAAGGAACATTTGTGGATTTTCTTCAAGTTTTGCAACTTTATCATTTTCTGTCCACAAATTTTCAATGTTAAATTTATTCCTAAATTTCCTTTCAACTCACAACAATGACACTTTGATTGAACAATGTCACCAATTTCTGCCTCAATAATTGAACCAATAATTTCATTTTTGTTCGTTTTTGCTGACCGAGAAAGTGAATTTTCAGATACTTTTTCTTTTGTATTTACATAACCAGAAATGAACCATAAACCAGGACAATATTGACACTTAAACAGCAAATTTGACCATATCAGTGTTGAACTATGGAGAAGCTATTGCAGTATGTAGGTTGTATTTATTATTATTTATTGACTCATTGTTAAATAAATGATTGACATTATTTTTATGTACTATGATAAGATTTTAGCTGTGGAGAGTAAAAAATAAATAAATAAAAAAAATAAGTTCTATGACTTATTGGTACCTACTACTAATACTATTTATTGCCACATTTTTTTTCTTACGTACTTTACAATTTCACATTCTATAGGACAATAATATTTAATGCAGATGGGGTCAAAAAGGGCTAAAAAGAATGTGGTTCAAATGCAGTTTTTCATTGTAATATTGTGGATTTTTAGGTTTAGTCAGAAATGATCAGGTTCAACATTTGTGAATTTTACTTTTGGATATTTTAAAAGTACAACATAATCAATAGGAAAAACTTGCTCTGGCCCTCCACGTGGGAGTATAACATCATCACATTCTTGAATTTGAAAACTATCAATTATTTTAAATTTAGAATAGTTTATTGGGGATAACTCTGCTTTAGGGTTATTGTGTTATAAATTTAGTGGCATAAATTGATTTCAATATTATCCTATATCTGCACTACTAATATATCACACTTTGTTATATTATTGCAGGCCTAGCACAAGTTGATACCAGATGTAGCCCACAGATGTAGTCTTGCAAGTCTCCATGGAGTAGGGCTGAATGATCTATTGTTTTGGACCGAAAATCGCGATCTCAGACGACACGATTTTGGGATTGTCAAAACCGTTTTTCGTTTTTTTTTTTTTTTTTTTTTGCAGTGCTCCTAAAGACCAAAAGGTGAAGTTTAATTCTGCGTCTGCTCAACACCGTCCCCTTGTCACGTCATTTTTGATTTCTGGACCTGCGTCGAGGTTTATGCGCCGCTAAGTAATTCACCGCCACAACGCAAGGAGGTGAGGATTTAAACCTGGTGTTCATGTAAAGTTGAAACATGAACCATCTCCAACGTGATAGAAGCACAGAACAGACTCACCATCAGCAGCACATCCTCTGTCACAGAAAGAACACTCATATTCCACTGAGTCATGTCCTTTAGTCTGACAGAAGCTGAACCGCATCAGCAGCACAAGGAGTGCGCTGTTTTTTTTTCAGCGCTCATAGTTTATGCAAATTAGCCATGTAGTTTTAAGTTGAATTTCTGTAAAACGTAAACAAATGTGTGCAAACGGTCCAGCGTCAGAACGTCGGTGCAGGACTCTGGTATGATGTAAGTTTCTGTGATGTTTGCAAATGTTCATGTGCACTAAAACTTGATTTGAAACACACACAAAAAACAAAAAACGACATGCAATACCTGCTAGAAAAATTGCAACATCTATTCTTAATGTGAGTGGGGTCGCCTCTCCACAAACCTAACCTGTAATTTTGGCTTGCAAGTCTCCATGGAGATTCTTAAGTCTATGGCGAATGATGTCGGTTCCTGTGATGTTTGCAAATGTTCATGTGCACTAAAACTTGATTTGAAAAAAATCGTGGATGAAATTGAAATCGCAATACCTGCCAGAAAAACTGCAACTCAATTTTTTCTTAAAATCATTCAGCCCTACCATGGAGATTCTTATGCGTATGGCCATACTTGGGAACATTCTAGTCACATCTCCATGGAGACAAGCAGATCTCGCCACCACTCTCCACCAGAAAAGTTGCACAATGCACCTTTTAACAGATTTATTTTATATAATTGCAAGCTTAGCACAAGCTGATACCAGATTTAGCCCATATTCAAACACACTCTACTATGGGTTTGGGTCTGTTTTGGTCCAGTAATCTCTCATTGTTTTTGCAGCAGAGGAACAGGTGGTCTAACCCAAGCGTGCGCCACCGAGACAAAGGCACACTGTTGGTTTAACCGCGCTCACCTCTGGCCATGCAAGTGAAAACACGGAAAAAGCCACATCATGGAACTTATCAAAGCGAATCCTCTGAAAATAACGTGTGTATTTAAACAAATCTGCTTTACACATGTTCATTCCCACACAGTGATGTTTCCAGGTCAGTGGGCAGTATATTTTGTGCTAAAATCTAAGGATCTGTGCAGGGATCTCAACATTATTCAGGTCACGATATGCTCGAAAAAACAAAAAACACAATATCTTTAGAATGTGAGTATTTCAGAAGCAAAATTAAAATAAATGAAAGAAGTAGTAGACCTTTGGATCATTTTAAAGGTGCACAGTGCAACTTTCCACCTACTTAACTCCTTGGCGATGTTATTGTTTTGCCTGGATCGTTCCACGGTATTAAACTTATCTGAATCCATGGCAACCAGCACGCAAACAGGCCAAATTACCGGTCAGATCTATGGTGAGGCGACCCCATTCCCAGCAAGAAGAATGTACGTTTTTCGAGGTAATATTTGGCCCTAAAATCACCTGAAAATAAATGCAGATGTAGATACGTGTAATGCCATACTGTGGAATATTCCTGTCAATCTTCGTAAGACAAGGAAGCGGCTGTCATCTTGAAGGAAGGGCATCTGAAATAAAAAGTGAACAGCTAAATATGCAATGAATACCGGCTCGAGTGTCTAAGCCAGGGGTGGGCAAACTTTTTGACTCGGGGGACACAAAAGGTTCTAAAATTTCATGCAAGGGCTGGACCGGGAGCAGATGGATGGAGTTTTTTGGTAATCCACGTCATAAGAGAAAAAAAAATAACATGTGATATGCAGAAAAGATCTTCCTTGTTATTGAAATATCCCATAATTGAAAATCTTTACTACAAAATATCTGTATTTTAAGTCCCATGGTATTTACTATTTTGTTGAAATTACTTTTAAAACACTGAAAAGTATTATTATTAGTAGTTAGTAGTAGTAGTAGTAGTTGTAGTAGTAGTAGTAGTAGTAGTAGTAGTAGTAGTCGTAGTAGTAGTAGTAGTAGTCGTAGTAGTTGTAGTAGTGTAGTAGTTCGTAGTAGTAGTAGTTGTAGTTGTAGTAGTCGTAGTAGTCGTAGTCATAGTAGTAGTTGTTGTAGTTGTAGTAGTAGTAGTAAGTAGTTGTAGTAGTAGTAGTTGTAGTAGTTGTAGTAGTAGTAAGTAGTCGTAGTAGTCGTTGTAGTCGTTGTTGTAGTAGTTGTTGTAGTAGTAGTTGTAGTAGTTGTTGTAGTCGTAGTAGTCGTAGTAGTAGTAGTAGTAGTAGTTGTAGTTGTAGTTGTAGTTGTAGTTGTAGTTGTAGTTGTAGTAGTTGTTGTAGTCGTAGTAGTCGTAGTAGTAGTAGTAGTAGTAGTAGTAGTAGTAGTAGTAGTAGTAGTAGTAGTAGTAGTAGTATTCAAGTTCGGTGGGCCAGATTAAAAAGATTAAAGGGCCGCATATGGTCTGGGGGCCGTAGTTTGCCCTGTTCTAAGCAACAAAATCACTGCAGTTTGAGGCCAAAAAACACATTTTTGTTGTTTTTTATTTCATTTGATTTATTTTTATTGACAAAAAGAGCTGCGAACGGTGAACATGTAACTTTGACCTGGCACATACGATTGTTTTGGTTCAGTGTTTTGCTGAGAGGCCACACAAGGACATTTCCAGGTCAGCGATTCCTGAGTTATGAATGGACTTTAGTTCGATGCCACAATACATCTTTAGATTAAGATCAGACTCCTGTGTAGTTGTATTAAATGAGTGAATGATCGCAGTAACACGAGTTCCTGCGGGCCTTGTGCGTACGGAGCGTTGCCGTGGTTGCGTGCGGTTTGGGCGTCGGCCTGTTGGGTTTGGTCCCATCTTCCTCTGTGCTACAACATTGTTTTCTGTACTTTGGCTCTTGTTGTTCTTGGTGTGACAGGTTTGTGTATTGTAGTACTGCGGACCTCTGGGAGTATAATGTTATGTGTGTGTGTCCTCTACCTAAACCACAAACGTGCCTAAATGTAGAAAGAAAGCATTTGTGCATGAATTTCACATTTATGTTTCTGCCAGATGCCCTTTCCGACATAACCAGCTATGTTATTGTGGCTGGAGTCGGCATTTGAGGTGAAGTGTCTTGCTTAGGGACACAAAACAACATAAACATTGCAGAAAAAAAAACAGTAAAAAAAATACAAAATACAATAGCAGGTTTTTTTTTTCCAATAAATTTTCAGACAATAAAACATTTTTCACATGAACTGACCACGTTATTAACACAGGTCAACATACAACCGGAAAAAAAAAATAAATAAATGATAATAATAATAATAATTACAAACCAATTCACCCACTCTCACATTCATACACATTCACATATTCACTAAACAATATTTGCACAATACAATTTATCAGTCGCAGGTAAGTCCGAGATTTATATTCAGTGACCATATGTACTTTAAAATAAAAATAAATAAAAAATGTATTAATTAATAAAAATAAAAAATGGGTAGAGAAACATAAATAAATAAATTAATAGATAGATAAGAATAAAATATAAATTAATTAATTAAAAATATAGTAAGATAGGTAAATACAATAACTATTTTAACTTTAATAGTGCGAATCAGAAATATAAAAATGGACTAAAAAACTAATAATCTTGCTACTATGGTTGTGCAAAAATACTGAAATATTGATATATCGTGTCGTTTAATGTGATGATACAGTATCGATATCGTGGGCTGCTGTATCATTTTTTGGTGTATTTTCCTAAATTATTTTGTTACAGGGCTACAGTTTTGTTGCTTGTGTGGAGGAAGGACACTTGTTTATGCAACACATTTGACATTTTCACTGTTTTGAGGATTAAAATGGGTGTTTTTCATATGAACTTTGCACAAGAAGTGGTTTAACAAAGACTTTTAGTATCACAGCCTTTGTTTTTATTGAACTGTATTGAAGTGATTCGAAATTTATTGTACCAAATCGAATCGAAAGCACACAGTATTGTATCGTGGCCTGTGTATCGAGATATGTATTGTACCTTATGATACTTAAACCATATTAATTAAGTTGTACAGTGTGGTTTGACATTGTATTAAAACAGAGCTTGTGAAAGAAGACTTTGTGAAAAAAATGTGTATATGAAATCTGACAAGTTATTTATTTTTTGTTTGTTTTTCAATTAGCATTTTCGAGATTATAGGATTTTTTAAAATCTCAATACCCAGATACTAATCAATACTATAATTTTAATGAAAACTAGAATTTAATTGGAACATTTCTGAGTAGTTTTTGGTGTATATCAGAAATTGTAGGCCTATGAGATAACTACTTTGTGTTTTTGTATTGTCTAAAAAAGTGTGTTGTTTTGATTATCATTATGGTTTTGAAATCTGTTTGCCTTAGACTTAGACTTAGACTTGGACAAATTTAATTGATCCATGAGGGAAATTATTTGGACACAGTAGCTCAGACATCACAATATATTATAATAACAAAGAGCAAAAACGATTATCACAATATGCATCTCACGGTATATTTATTGTGATATTTTGGAGAGGCTGATTTAATTGTAGATGGGACACTTTTTTGCTTTTAAAATACCTTGACAAGATTTTGGTGTGAATTATCTCTATCATAATCCCAAGAATTTAAATCAAAAACGTATTTCTTCATGTTGTCGGCACTGAAATGAATCATGGGATATGTAGTTCCCAAAGTTTATAAGCTGTTGCTACTATAAAACCATGCATTTAAGCAAGAAAAAACCTTCTAATTCGATATATATTATGATGCCCCATGATATTATTGTGAGACTTTTGACAATACGATATCACGATATTTTGGTTATTGTTACATCCCTAATAAATGGTAATAATAAATTCAAAATAAGTTGCAAAACTGGCAAGGGATTGGTGTAATTATACAAATAAATATATATGTAAAAGCAAAAATTAAATATAGAAATATAGTAATTGACATGAAAATAGCATTTGAACAACACTAAGAGGCGGTCTCTGTTCTGACTTCCTTTGGATTTTGGCTTGTATTG